GAACATGACTGTGTAGCCAGTGTTAGTTTAAACTTCTTGGGTCTGACTCTCCCTGAGTAGTTTATTTTATGTATATTTAAGCACAGCACTATTTGGTGGAAACTTATTTTGGTGATAATTAATTTAATCCTATGTGCACAACAAAGTATACAAAAATCTGTTTGGAGAACTAAGTGTGCTAAATACTTTGCATGACTCCCTAGACATGACTATCTAGACATGACTACCTAGAAATGACTATGTAGACATAACTACCTAGGCATGACTCTCTAGACATGACTACCTAGGCATGACTCTCTAGACATGACTACCTAGGCATGACTACCTAGAAATGGCTTGCAAACTCCACAAAGATAATTTCTACAGATTGATGGGAAAAACAAGTTTATGATAAAGGTCTAGGGGAGGATCCCATGTCTGAAGAGTCAGACAGCACAAAGGACATCAGGCTATTAAATATGTTGGTTCCTAGCTTTCTGGGTGGATAACAGGTTATATTAGTGGTTCTCAAACTTCAAAATGCTGAGACCCTTTTATGATGGAGGAAGGTCATTGGCTAATAAAGAAACTGCCTTGGCCCAGCCTTTAGGTGGGTGGAGTAAACAGAACAGAATGCTGGGAGGAAGAGGAAGTGAGCTCAGACGCAATACAGCTCTGCTCTCTGAGGCAGACACGATGAAGCTCCTACCCAGGATGGACGTAGGCTAGAATCTTCCTGGTAAGCGCACCTTGGGGTGCTACACACATTAGTAGAAATGGGCTAGTCCAGGTGCAAGAGTTAGCAAAGAAGAGGCTAGATATAATGGGCCAGGCAGTGTTTAAATGAATACAGTTTGTGTGTTGTTATTTTGGGATATAAGCTAGCCAGGTAGTCGGGGCCTGGTGGAACATAGCCCGCAGCTCCTACAACACTTTTATACTGCTCCTCATGCTGTGGTGACCCCCCCAACCAAAAAATTATTCCATTGCTACTTCATAATTGTAATTTTGCTACTGTTATGAATCTTAATGTAAATATCTGATTTGTGACTGTCCCCAAGGTTGAGAACTGCTGGATTACATGCCTTCCTTCAAAGGAACAACCCTGTGTGCTTAACATTCCAGGTTTTCGTCATGCTTTTCTGTGAGTAAAAAAACCTCTGATCCTCCTACATAGCCAATTTTAACCACTATGAAAGCAAACACAAAAGCTTTCAAACTTGTAAAATAAATTATCATTGGGTCCATCTGTGCCACACTGAAGGACTCTTACTCTATTACAGAAATCCCTAAACACCCATGCTTACTGCTGCGTTGTTCACAATGGCAATGTGAATGACACAAAATGGGATTTTATTCAACTGTAAAGAAAAATGAGATTTGCAGGAAAATGAAGCAAACTAGAAAGTATTATGTTAAGCTGTTTATATGAGGGAGTGATTATGAATATAGGGTATGAAAGTAGAAAGGAAGGAAAAATGAGATGTGGAGGCAATATAGAATATACAAAATAACAAAAAGGAACAGAAGGAAGTGTTGGAGTGGGTGGGTTGGTGGGAGGAAGGGGACGAGGGAGACCAGTGTGGTTGGTAAAGGGTAGGGAAGAAAATTAACAATTTTGTTGAAAAATATATAATGAAACCAAATATTGTTTATGACAATTTAAAAATGAAAATAATCAATAAGAAGAAAGGCAAAGACTTTCTGCTACCATGCAAACATATAAACATATGGCTGTGTTTGGATAGAAGCATGACTTTTCCCTGAAGGTAGGCTATTTTGCCCTGCTTCTCAAATGTCTTTCTTAACAGTTCCCTTATGTGTTTTGTGTACTCATCTGTAAACAGAGCTTCATGTTCCAACTCAGCCTGTTATTTGCCATAAATTCCTGTAGGAAGAATATTCCTCAGTCTGTCCCTCTTTGCTTGAATACTGTCTAATGGTCTTGGAGCTGCCTCAAGGAGGAAGAGAAACTCTAGAAAAGTTCTGCCGAGCCTGTAGAACTTTATATTGAGGGGACTGTGGCTGTATCTTTTCCCCCTGTGTTGGCAGAAACTTCGGCTGATGTAGGAGTGTCTTCTATCTATCTGTTGCTTTCATTGGTTAATTAATAAAGAAAACTGCTTGGTCTGATAGGTCAGAACATAGGTATGATATAGATATGAATAATTTGCATTAGTATAGATTTTGCTTTATTGATAGAGATTTAAGGTCAATTTTGTTATATGTATAAGTGTTTCTGATTTTGATTAAGGTATTGTGATTGTGTAGTTCATTTAAATATGTATTGTATAATTAGGAAATATAGGTTTTTAATGGATAATCATTGATAATAGTAAAGCTTGTAGTCATGTTAGTTAGATTTTCTAGATATATAGAGACATATTTTAGATAGGCATTCTTCATATTTTTCAAAGATTATAGAATATGGCATTTTAAATGTTTTAATAACTTAGGACTTTTCATGACAATGAGACACTCTGCTCCTGGCAGCACCAATCTGCTTCAAGAGGAAGATGGGCATCGAAGAGGCTCGTTATGGAGTTTGATAGCCATTTGGGCAACTGGACACAGAGAACCCGCAGAGAGAGGACTACTGAACTTGCCTAAGGTGAGATCATCTTTCCGGGTTCCTGATTCATGAAAGAGTCTGCGAGACATTCTGCAGGACACAACAGATAGTTACTGAACTGACTTTGAATTTTCCTGCTTTATGGAAATGTCTGCTGGATACCATGGGCCTGAAGGCTGAAGATGGATGCCCCAATGGTACAGAGGAACTTTGGGTGACTGTCCAGGCAGCGAGATGTCTCTGTCATTTCTAGAGTTTTGAAAGTTGCTTTTTTCTTGTTTGCTTAGGTAGTATTGTATCTTTCTGGAGTCTTTGATGGAGTTAAGAATAGTTATAGTTTTCCTTAGTTATGATAAAGATTATTGTAACTTTTACTTGATAACTGTTTTGTTATATGTAATTTTGCTATGTTAAAGTTAAAGCCTTTTTTTTTTTGTTTAAACCAAAAAAGGGGAAATGATGGAGGAAGGTCATTGGCTAATAAAGGAACTGCCTTGGCCCATTTTATTGGTTGGAAGATAGGTGGGAGGAGTAGGCAGAACAGGACGCTGGGAGGAAGAGGAAGTGAGCTCAGACTCGACAGCTCTCCTCTCGGGAGCAGACGCCTGGGAGAGACGCCATGCCCCGCTCCCGGCTCCCGGGATGAAGCTCGGACCCAGGATGGACATAGGCTAGAATCTTCCCGGTAAGCGCACCTTGGGGTGCTACACACAGATGATTAGAAATGGGCTAAATTAATATGTGAGAATTAGCCTAGAAGAGAATGGGCCAAGCAGTGTTTAAATGAATACAGTTTGTGTGTTGTTATTTCAGGGCATAAGCTAGCCGAGCAGGCGGCCGGGGTGCTGGGGACACAGCCCCGCCATCCTTATTACTACATAGGTAGGCAGGAAAGACAGAACAGAATGCTGGGAGGAAGAAGGCAATGAGGCAGATGCCATAGCTCTCCTCTCCGAGATGGACTCAGGTTAGAATCTTTCTGGTAATCCACCACCTCGTAGTGCTACACACATTAATAGAAATGGGTTAATCCAGATGTGAGAGTTATCCAATAAGAGGTTAGAACCTAACGGGCCAGGCAGTGTTTAAATAAATACAGTTTCCATGTAATTATTCTGGGGCTAAGCTAGCAGTACCGGAGATGGGCGGGACAAAAAGCAGGCCTGCTCGCCTTATCACTACATTAGCTTGAAGGGCCAGCTCCACAAAGATAAAAGCAATACCAAGTGAGGCAGCAAAAGCATGTGAGCTGGCAATTCCAAGGGAGGTGGCATGTCACTTGGGTTTTACTTTGCTTACCTGGTTTGGAGTAAGCCCCCTGCTTCAGGAAAACATGGGTCAGGTGAAATGCAATGTCTCTAAACAGTTCTATTCACAGCTGTGATGATAACCACTAGACTTCCATTCCTTTTAGACTTATGCTCTTAGTAGTTATTATGTGTGCACTTTCAAGATAGTATACAAAGTACTTTCAGAATTTAGGCATAATACTTTGTATGTTTTGTGTGCAAAAAGATTTTACCCGGCAAAGATTTCCCAAGTACATATACTATTTTTGTTTATATTGCTGGGCATTAAAGAAACGCACAGCCTCAGACATCCTGGGCAAGTGTACAGCCAAGGAGCCAAATTTCAAGTCCTCCAAGTTCATGCATTTGAAACTGTTCCCCAGACTTCATAGAACATACTCATATAAGACTTTCATTTCAAGTCAAAGGACAGAGTGTAGCAAGAAAGGATAACACAGCCATCAAGGACTCAAGGGCATTTCTCACTCGCTGCTTCTTCCCTTTCTGTCCCTCGCTGTACCTTCTGTTCCAATTAGCGAGCTTTGTGCATGTTCTCTATTTCTCTGAGTTTATGTATAAAAAGGTCTTCTCCAGTTTTGTGCTTGGACTCTAGCAGAGTGTATAGAAAATAGCACAAACTATTTGAATCACTTATACTAAGTGCAGTCTAATGCTCAAGGTACTTTAATTAAGAATGGTAACGTCAAATCATTACTTGTATAGACCAAGTCTTCCAGTCATTCCTGACTTGGTCTTCTCAAATTCAGGCATGTTTCTGCAACAAACAAACAAACTATAGCACATTTTGTAGCTGTGGTAGTGACAAGCTCCCATAGGCATTGAAGGGTTCATGATAAACCACAAGTTGATCACAAAACTTGGGAGCACAGTGAGAATGGTTCGACTGGCAGCTGGCAGACCCAGCCAAGGCAGATGGCTGGCAAACCAAGCAAATGTTGAAACAGAATGAATAGAGGTGCCTGAAACTCATGACACTGCCCTGATTGGGCAAACAGTGCACGATCATGTCGCAGGTCAACAGAGCATACGAGCTCCCATCAGCTCAGTAACAGTGTGCTCGGCCTTTGTCTAGTTTCTGCCCCAACACATTTACAAAGGCCCTACACACAGCTCAATCTTTTTTAATAACAAAATTTATTTCTTAAAGTGAATTTTCAGAGTTGTCATTAACAATATTCTATAAAGCCGAAGCCGTTTTCTGTCTCTCAAAACCCCCTCCCACCCTGGAGTTCTTGGGAATCTCTCTCACTTTTGCTCAATAAATCTAATTTCATTTTACTCACTCCTTTCAGCAAATTTGAGAGGTGACTCTGATGGCCATCTGGCACCTTGTCCCCTAGGCTGCTGAGAGCCAAGAAAGGCTTCAGTCACTCTCAAAAAAAATCAACATCAGTACAGAACCTCTGTATGTAATATTTTATCCTCAAAGCTAGAAAGACTAGCTTCATAAATGCTACCAAGTTAGACAATTGTGTTTTTATAAAGAACATTGTTTTATAGTTGAAGGCCAATATAACTCTAGTGTTACCAGGTTTCAGAAAAGAATTTCATATGGTAAAGAACTGTTGTAAATAATTTTAGGCTGATATTTAAAGTATTTAGAAGCTACCTGTAGCCAGACAGGGTGACTCATGCCTTCAGTCTCAACATTTGGGAGGCAGAGTCAAGTGGAGACCTGTGAGTATGAAGCCAGCTCAGTTTACACGGTGAGTTCTAGATCAGTCAGAACTATAAAAGGAGAAAAAGGCATCTGTTGTCTTCTGTGTCTATCCAGATGTTTTTCTGAAAACATCTGTACTGTGATCTTTAACATAGTTTTCACTTACAAATTAATATAAAATGATGAAAAGATATATAAACACTTTATTAAAATTGGCATATCAAATTATAGCTATTATAAGAAAAGAAAGATACTATCTATTTTTTCAGTACAATTATTTAGCACCAGGTATCCTGTTATCAAGTTAGAGAATTCTTTTAAATGTCTCAGTAACAACTCATGAGTAGGGGAAAGTTTACTATTCCTTTAATCTTGGAAGAACACTGAAAGAAAAGGGCAGGGGATGTGGAGTATGGAGGACTTCCCTTGTGTAGCTCGCCACACACAGCGTTAGTAGATGAAGGGGAATCTTGATGAGAATAGGGTTCAGTAAGGATATCCGTGGTGGTAACTTTCATGATGACGGTAGTCATCCTGGTAGCCATCCTGGTAGCCTTGGTGGTAGCTATGGTAACCATATCCTGCATACTCATCTTCTGGGCAGCGCATTCCCAGTGACTGCTGAATGGCCATTTCCTGTCTTCGAAGTTGCATGGAATCAATTAAGTCATACACAATGACCATCGACCACATAGGAGAAGGATACCAAGATTTGACATTCCCATCTTTTCCAACTAGAAGCATGGAGAAGTATTCTGGGCTCACTTGGAAATAGTTGCGAATATCTTTCACCAAGTGGGCTGGTACATCTTCCCGCTCAACAGTGGAGCTCCCTGGAAGAGCGTTGGAATGGTTGTTAGTGGATTAAAGAGTCAAGAGTTCATAGACATATCAATGCAAGAGGAAATCACTGTAAGAGAAGACCTGCAAACTTGTTCTCTTTAGCTCAAAATCCAGTTGTCTGCTGGGAGCATCCAGAAAGTATACGCTATGTTGTACAAGGTTGTTAGTGTCAAACTATGGGGCAGGTGGCATCTCTTTTGAAAATGTTGCGAAGTACAGAACCCAGGCCTTATTTTAATCCTGAAATACCAACATCTTTACAATCTGTCACTGACAAACAATGATGTTTCTATTTCTAGGCATGTTTCCAATTAGCTTGCTTCTTTTCAAGGAACAATAGAAAGCTTGTTTTGACATCAAGGGTGAAAAATACCAATTATATTGAAAACCAATGACTGGATTTCAACTAGTAGTATGTGTGAAAAGAAAAAAGAGAGGGGAAACAGAAGCTTTCTGGGGAGTCTGCTCTGGCACTCTGCCAACTCTTTCACACACTGGCACTTATTTCAATAGGAGGACAGAGTTGCCTTCTGCAGCCTTCAGTCTGTAGTCATTTTCTTTAGTTTTTCCGAGCCCTTAATTGCATTTCCTTATCTCTTGAAAGGAAATTGAGTTGATACAACCTCATAAAACAATCATGGAATTAAATGATAGAACATAAAATACTTGGAAAACCTTCAAACTTGTTATCTACAAAAGCATGCTTTTGCTAATTAAAATGAATATTTTTTTTACTGTTTGTTTGAATAATTTTATATCAAAACCAAGATTAGTTCTTAGTGAAGCTCCTGACCCAGACACATCATGGGCACACAAGCATGTTTATACACACACATCGTTCTTCGAGGTATACTTTCTCCTCGCATATAGCTTAATGTAACTTAATTAAACTTAATACTAATTCATAATATTTTAAAATAATAAAAGATTACCATTAATTGGGAACAGTTCTAAGACGCCTCCAACCTCCTCTCCGACGCCCAAAAGCTTCAAAATGGTTATGTGACGAAGACCTGACACAGGAGAAAAAAGTCACAACATTAGAGGAGAAGCCCTGAAAACATCTTTTAATTCCAAAAATCTGACATCTGCTGATTTTTCAAGTCAATTTTAGTTGGAAAAGAATATAGAACATAAAACACCAAGTAAAATAATCTGTTTTCCATGTTCCTATCCAAAAGATAGGAAACACTCAAAACTGAAAAGACGGGTTACAGATTTCAAGATTAGCAAGAATCAGGGGGCTTTATGTGTCAGGGGTTGGACAGAAACCCAAGAATTTGCTCTTAAAATGACTGTCACTGTAAAATACCAAAAATGCAAAGCTGTTGGTAGCAAAATAGTAAACTACCTAACAGGAGCTTAGCACAGTGATGGGTTGTTCTGCAAAAACAACTTAAGCCTGATGTTCTCACACACACTACGGATAACTTCTCCTCAGAGAGAAAAACCACACAAGTCAGGTGAGTCAGCATAGGTGTTTCCCTTGACTAGCAGGTTCTTCCTCCTGCAGAGGGTCCCCAGGGGAGCCACAGGCAAGCACAGCTTGCTCCCCATCATCTTCAGCTAAGGTTTCGGTAGAGGAGGGAAGGTCACGCCTTGAGAGCTGGTTGGAATTCTTTTGAAGATGAAAAGCGTGTGAAGGATTCAGAAAGAAAACATCAGGACTGGGTAATAGCTTGGAGTTAATGATAAGATCGGTGGAGTAATGTTGCCCAGGGGAGAAAATTGAAAGCTTTTCTATGTGGGAGGGCTCCTAGAAAGGAGGAGCTAGAATCAAGGCAAACCACTGTTTTGTTTGGTTTTCCACCTTTATCTTTTCCCAGAAAGGTGAAGCGTTCTATTCCTAACCCCAGTGTGTCATATTTCCAGAAGGGAAGAACGTGAGTTTAGTGATTCTTGGAAAGCATGGTTTGTTCACATTTCCTGCCTGTAACAAAAGGCTTGGCTTACAGTCCTGTGGCACAGGCTTTCTGTGCTAAAAGATAAAATGAAACAACACCTCTTAGCCCTTGCAAAGGTATCTTTGAAAAGGTAGCAATTCATGGCTTTATTTGTCATCATTGTTTTTTGACACGGGTGGCACTCCACAGCCCAGGCTGGCCTGGAACTCACAAACCCGTGGGCTGAGCCTCTTTGTGCTGAGATTATCAATATGTGCCACCAAGGTGGAATTTGTTTTGATTTACATTTTTACTGTGATGAGGATGAATCCTTGGTTGCTCTAAGGATATCTTCCATAATTATCACTATTGATGACTCCAATGTGTAAATACAGTTCAGAATACTGACACACCCAAGACTCTAAATTGAAAGCTGTAAACTGTTGTTAGCCTTGATAAATGGAGGGTGAGTGAGAAGTTCTTAAATGGTCTTGCCATTTGGAGCTTGCTTGCTGCCTCCCTTTGAGTCATTTCCCGTCTTACCCTTGAAAAGAGCTTGTAATTTAGAGACAGTGAGCCATATCACAGAGCAGGGTCTAGATAATGCTTCACAAAACTTTTGAAGACCCTTCCTTCAAGAATCAAGTACAATTTTAGAGCTACTTCCTACTGGAAGACTCAAAATGGTCTTCATTTGTAACATTGTAATGAATTTTGCAATGACCAGAACACAGTCCACCATCAATCTATGGATTCAAGGTGCACTCTCCGCAGTGGTATAGCTCATGGGGGTCAGCTGGGACATGGACACCACTGACTTCACCGTCATCCCATTTCACACTGAACCTAGTGATGAGTTCTCTGGACTGAGCATATGTTTCTGCGGTCACATTAAAAATGATACTAGTACTTTCTGCTTTCCGTTAGCCTAATGTTTAGCAAGGTCCTGTGTTATTTTTCAAAACATTGAGGGATTTGCAACAAGGAGAAGAGAAACATTTTTTAGTTTTCTTTTTTGACTTGACTTAATAAGGTTCAGAACAAGGCACAGTGACACACGCCCGTAATTCCAGCACACGGGAGGGTAAATCAGGAGGAGCTGGAGTTCCAAAGTGACATTCTGTCTCTAAAATCATAAGGTTCTGTTTCATTAATTCCCAGAACGAGATCTGTTTATGGAGAAGCATCCAATGTTAGCAGCCAGTACCCAAGTATCAGATAAACGATGGTGCCTGTATCTCATCATCTTGAGACATGTGTAAGAAGAAATCAAAACTAATTGTAAGTAAAACGGTAGATACTTCCCAGCCTGTCAGTGTAGCATATGAAAGGAAGAAGGTGAGGGGACCTATAGTTGACTAAAACAGTACTTGAAAAGCAACTTCATATTCAATAAATAGAATGTGTGCCTGGGAATCTACATTTGGATTGGGATGCATTTGGATGAGGCGAGGCCCTATGTTTCATTTTAGAACCATCCAGAAAGAAAGCGGTATGGGAAAGCAGAAATGAGGTGCCTCCCACTCACCAAAATTGCATGCTTGGCCACTGAGGGCAGAGAGCTGTTGTGAATAGGCCCAGTCTTCATCATTAGGGGCAGAGATCACCAACAACCGCCTCCTCCATCGGAACCTGGAAAAGATGCCCAAGGCTGCTGTGACTGCTTCATACAACAGAGGCCAGTGTAAGAAAGAGCAACGTCAGCTGTTGGGTTTTTCCATTCCCAGAATAAAAATCCCTGGCCCTTAGAACTCCCCTATGGGTTCTGAAAACCATTAAACTGCATTGCCACATACTCCTCTTTTTTCTTTTCTTTTCTTTTCTTTTTTTTTTTTTTTTTTTTTTTGATTTTTCGAGACAGGGTTTTTCTGTGGCTTTGGAGCCTGTCCTGGAACTAGCTCTGTAGACCAGGCTAATCTTGAACTCACAGAGATCCGCCTGCCTCTGCTACTCCTCCTTTTTCTGTTGAGACTTCAGGATTCCCACAGGATATGTTGGGTCCTGGCCTGGTCACCATGCATGATGAGGTCACTTGGGGTAAAGTGAAGCTCTCAGTTGTAGCAAAGACTAGTCATAATTGTAAGGGAGGCAGTCAAATCGAGACTACAGAATTGAAGCTCCAGCAGAGTTCCCCGTGGAGTTCAGTGTGCATTGGGGAATGAGAATGCAAACAAGAATAGGCTAGAAAAAGACCGCTAAATTTGACGTGGATCACTGTGGCAGCAAGAAGGAAAGTGGAAGGTCACTAAGAGTTAAAGAGGTTTCAAAAGAATAAAAGCCTGTGCACTTTCGTTAGTTGTTATTCTAGAGGCAAATGTAAATTCTGATCTTTATCTTATTATCATTAATAGAAGTCACTTCCCAGGAAGTGGATAAGCCATGGGAATTTTGGCAAATCCAGCTTCTACTGCTAGAACGACTGTCATGGTGCACTAATAGAGCTTTTGTCTTATATGTGGAAGCTTGAATTCAAGTTTGTCATCACTACTTTTTGTATGCCTTCGAGCATGTCACTAAGTCTCACTTTCCCCTTATTTCTGGAATTGAAAATATCAGTGTCTCCTTCAGAGGGATGTTACAAAATTGAATTCCAAACCCATCAGTATGCTGTCCATATGATGGATCTAGGAAATCATGTCTTTGTTTTCGGCTCCCTGTTTCAAAACCTGTCATTAACATACCCTAGTCATCAGTCATCACCATGCCACGTGACGACGATTTGATTCTTGTGTCAGGGTGTCACTTAAAGCTCACTTTCATGACACAGTAAGTGTTCCTCACTAGAGCTCAAGAAAGCCGGCTTTATTTTCCCCAGTTTATGAATGATGAGAGAGACATAAAGAAGTGGGTGATCTGCACAACTAGTAAATCTAAAGTGGTACCCAAATTTAGGCTTAAGGATGCTGATGCTGTAGTCATGCTCTCAGGTCCCCAATGTGGTATGAAACACATACAGTATGCTTCCAAGGAAAAGCTGAATGGAGTTGTCTCAAAAATGGAATGAGGGTGTTGCTTTCTGCCTCAGGTGCAGGCAAGCAGCAGTGTTTAACAATTGCTGAGTGCATGGTTTCTCTCCCTATCTTGCCCTATCTTGCTTCAGAGTGAACACGAGAGCTCAAGAAAATGGCCTCTTGGAGAGAACAGTGGTTTGGGATGGGGCACAATAATAGTGGAATGAAATACAAGCTCTGAATGGACGTCTGTCTCCCAAGCCTTGCCAGGAATGGCTTGCTGTGACATTACATTTGCTTCCTCTGCTTGTTTTTCTCCAAAGGGAAAGAAAAACGAGTCTCCACTGAGGATACGGAGATGAATGTTTTGGCACAGACCAAGGGAAAGGAGCATATGAGACAGTCCAGAGGTTCCTGGGAAAGGGAACAGTGGCAGCTGCTGGGTCACAAGCTCGGTTGGTCTCTGGATTTCCCTGCTTCCTTAGGAGAAGTGCCAGACCAGAACTGGCCCCCAGCCAGGATCTAACCAGGCCAGCCTCTCTGGCCTACATGGAGCCATAAAGTTATTTTAGTGAAGTCTGTTTCAACTTGTTTACCTGTGCCACTGAATGAGGTTTTGATGGGACAGGGATGAGACGCCCTGTCTCAGACACAACAGTGCTTCCCATAAGGAGTGACTGGCTTCCAATACTTCCAATACAGGGGTTTCAAGACCCCCCAGCTCAAGACACTAAAGGAAATAGCATCCAAGGCCAGTATATGACAAGACTTGTGACCCTATTTTGGTCCCCATTTAAGGCAAATTGTTCTTCTGTCGCTTCAGTTTCTCAGTCAATGAAACCCTACAAAGTCTGCTTGTGTTTGCTTTCTTTTCACTGGCATACTAAATTAGTGTGCATTTGGCCACTCTTTGGGGCTTCTGTCTCGGGGATGGGTAATTACAGTGTAAAATACAGTGCTAAAGACCAGACTGCCTTCAGGGTCTGATCAGTTGAAACCAGGCTGTGCTGTCTCACCAAGTCAGCAAATTTAAGGAAAATTCCCATTTAGGGATTGACTTAGTCATTGGATATTTTTCCCCCAGGGGTTTTTTCTTTTTCCTTTTTCTCTCTGCTTGGATTTCAATTCTGAGTTTCTCTCACCAACACAGAGTTGTATAGGGCCTGAACAATATGCTGGAATACAGTAATAGCCATTAATAAATAACAGTTATAGGTTATAGTAAATAACCATTTATTGGTTACTTTCTTTGTGCTAAGCCCTGGGCCTTTGTTACCTTTAATATCCAATTGCCCTTTCACAATGATCTTAAGAACAAGAACACTTATTATCATTGTGCAAATTAGAAAACTGAATCCTGAGGTGGTTAAAAAATCAGCCCAATATCTCACAATTGACGAGTGAGAAAAAGATAAAGGCAGAATTCCAACATGGGGCTATTTTCTTCCTGCCTCTGAGTAATACACTACTCTGTTTAAATTTTTAAGATAATTCCTTGAATATTTCATATAGTATATTTTGATCATATCCTCTACCCTCCAACACACCCAGATTTACCTTCCCACCCATAACTTCCTACCCACTCAGCTTCCAGTTTTTTTCTTCTTTTAAAAAGCTATTAAGTATTAGCTGGGCAGTGGTAGTGCACGCCTTTAATACCATCATTCGGGAGGCAGAGGCAGGCAGATCTCTGTGATTTCAAGGCCAGCAGCCTGGCCTACAAGAGCTAGTTCCAAGAGTAATCCTGTCTTGAAAAACCAAAAAAAAAAAAAAAAAAAAAAGCTATAAAGTGGAACTTGCATTGTCCAGCTGCTCTTAGGAGCAGGGCCTGCCCTGGAGTGTGGTGGACCCACCAAGGGTCACCATTAAAAAACACCGACTCTCAGTCTCCCAGTGGCCATCAAGTGTCAGTTTCTCTTCAGCTAGTTAGTGGGATTTGGTGTGTACCATGAAAGGGGGTCAGGGAGATTTTAAGTTCAGAGGAGGTGATTAACTTCAAGGAAAGTGTTTTCTGGACATGACAGAGCAATTGTAATACAGACTTACAAAAATTATGAAACCATGTACAAGACCTGTGGGTGCATATGTACACATGCATGCATACATACATACATACATACATGTTCTTGTGAACTTTAAAAAAATTTGATCTAATGACAAACTTGCAACAACAAATGAGGTTGTGAAATTGAATGATTAGGAAGTACAGTGCAAGTTGAAGTCTAAGTGAACACAATTGTGGGGGGATGGATTTGAAAATATTCAAGAACAAGAATATATGAGCAACATTTTATATCTGAATGTATAGCAGGGAAAGCTCTTGGTACCAATATAATGAGTATATACCAACTCTGGATGGAGGCAGGGCTCCTGCTAGCATTATTTTCATTTTAGAGTGGAAAGATATTTAAGGCAATTTAGTTGAGAAGCATCACGATTGTGTTGCAGACTGAATCCCCATACGAATGATAAATCAGACCTCCTTTAGATTAGATACTATACTCTTAGAGCCCCAAGTCCCCTGAGACTGCAGGAAGTAAAGTTATTTACTTATTAATCCCTGAATTCTTGAGACACTGACTGACATGAACTGTGAAGGGTATACAGTTGGAGTGGAACTTGTATTGAGGTCTCTATGATTTTTTTCTGTTGTGTGTGTGTTTTTCAATTTTGTCCCTCCTAGAGCCTCAAAGTCCCTGTGAAATTTTCACCCAACATTGAGAAAGGCATGGACCAAGGAAGAGATTGTCATTTTTTTTTAAACTCTCTTTTCTGGGGTATGCCCCCCCTCCTTGCTATCAAAGGGCTTTGAGCACACAATACTCCCCAGAGAATCCTGAAGCTCAGTCAAAGGGATTCCTACTTTTCGGGTTTTAGTAAGGCTCTTTTTGTTTTGTTGTAAGGAAGTGGAACTCAAACAGTGTACCAAATCCCATTTAGAAATGAAAGTACACTCACGTAAAACAGAATGTCATGAACACAGCTTCTTGATTCACTGTCTGCATGAAACAATCCCTGCAGAAGTTCTGAATCCTATGCTTTGTACCAAAAAAAAAAAAAGGAACTGAAGACACCCATCCAGCATCACCAAATCAACCTTCATAGTTGAAACCTTGCAACCAGAACCATTTTCAGACACACACACACACACACACACACACGACTAAACCCAGCAGGCAGAGGGCTCAGAAACAAGCACCCTCCCAGAAACACACACGAAGCACTGTGTTTGTTTGGTTCTGGCCTCACTCCAGGCAAAATTGCACTAGCCTTTCCTGGGAACGCAAAGATCATGTACCTGGATAGGAAATTCTCCAGGGACTGTTTCTTGTCCTCCTTGCAGGTTATGCCCTCCTTCTTCTGCTTCTCCATGTCTTTGATTCGGGACTGGAAAGTATCAATCAGATCGAACACAGACTTCATTGCTATTGGAACTTCATAGTATTGCTGTTTAAGAAAGCACAGGGTACATGTAATTCCAGCGAGGTCTAGGGAAATCTTTGATTTGGAGCCTAGAGGGTTTGATGGTTTATAGATCTTCTTTTGCAAGAGTACCCTCTTCCAATTGCTTGAAATTAGTACTTCTGGAAGTGATTGATATGTTTATAAAGAATTATTCTTGCCTTCTTTTACTAAAAACAATTTATATCTTCCATACCATATAAACCCTACATTCACACCCATATGCCTAGGACTAATCAGGTTTCTGTTTTTGACACAATCAGAGAAGTGACGAACAGTATACTAACATAGAGAACTACATGGAATAGGATGGTAGAATTTTTAACTTGACTTTTCCATAAAATCCTGTTTTATTGAGTCATTTAACATCAGGTCCTCTTTGCTCACCTGTTCTGGAAAACAGGTTGGGATCCAACTGAAAGACATCGAAATTCACTTCCTTGGATCCCAGCTACCCATACTTTTAAAAGTCACCTAATGTGGAAATGGGCCCTGCTGAGCAGAACCAATATGAGGGACCATCTGAGTGTGGCTCACAACTTTGCCCCACTGGGGTTTCATTTTAAAGATAATCTAGTCCAACTTCTCTTGTTGGAGATAAGGCAACACTTGTACACAACACATTAATGGAGAGATCTCTCCCCCAAACCACAGAAATACTGTGGGGGGGGGGAGTCAACTGTTATGATGTTGCAGATGGCACCCCTCCCCAGAGATCTTACTATAGTGTCAGCATCCCAGAATGATGAAGGCAATGAGATCTGTAGCTAGCCACTGTGGGAATGAAATCTAATTTTAGCTGGATCAACTTGAACAAGTCACTTATCCATTCAGGGGTTATACTTTTTCTCTCTGTCAAACAAGAAAGATACTGGTATTCATTTTACATCTTTACAACAAGAATTACATAGTTTTGAGCAAAGTGCTTGGTGAAAGGAAAGTGCCAATTAAAGCTAGATATTTTGTAGTAGTATGACTGCGTAACCCAGTTTTTGATGGGTTAGAAATTTTGTCCTTCTGGGAAGAAAGTCGATGAAAAATCCTTGCAGTCTTTCTTATCTTAAATGAGGACTTTCCAAAATAGGTCCTGGGATATAAGGGCAGGTTTCATGAAGGAAGGAATTCCTCCTTCTCTTTTATTCTCAGGGCTTGGAGCACCACAGAGATTTAACTAACAACTGACAAATTCACAGCGTTTGTGTGGTGGGAGGATTGATTCAGTCTGAGTCATGCGGCTGGGCTACCTAAAGCGCAGCTCAACCCAGTCATTCCTGGATACATCATCTCTGAATGTTGTGAGACAACTCAAATACTAGGGTCATTTCAGAACCCAACCTGCTATGGCATAGTATGTGCTGAACTATACATCTAGTGAATCCATTGATCAGAGGGCACCATAGTTTTGCCACCCCCAGCAAGAACCTGTACCTTGACTCTCAGGTCCACATCTGTCAGCACCATGAAGAAGTCATTGTAGGTCATTCCGTACTCTTTCCTCAGCTCGCCAATGAGATGTTGGTCTCCCAAGTCCTCATCATCCACCACACGCATGGGTTTCTCATTATCTTAAGGCAAATGAAATGTGAATAAAAATGAGTACGGCAAAAGAGGAAACGTTGAAAAGAGACTGAGTGGAGAGGAGTAACTTTCATCCAGCCCAAGCTAGCTAATACTCCCTAGTTATATACATACTTTACTCTCAATATGTGTGAACAATACTATAGTAAATTAAACAAAAACAGCACTATAGTGAATTGATAAGTATAAAGCAACCGAAGGAATACAGGAAATAGTATTGAAACTCCACTAATGATGGCAAAACCATCTTGACCCACTCTAGTCATGTGAATCGGAAGTGTTAGCCTTAAGACTGTCTAGTAATCCTTGAGAACTGTCCATCCTGCCAGGGTATGAATCTTCACCTAAATTGCTATAAAACTAGCCCAGACATGATTGTTAAAGTTCACTTCCACTATAGATAATTCTGAGTCTGAAGCCTGTGTCTGTTCCTTGTTTAGCATATAATTAACTTTGGAGTTCAGTAAATACACACCATAGAGAAAAATAAAGAGTTTATGCTCAAAACTAGACCCAGGTTCCTTTTGACTCCAGAAGTTAAAGTCTTCACTATACAAGTTTCGCCTTTAAGAGTTTTGGAAGACTAAGCATCATGCAAGTTTTCAGTTAAAAAAATCATTATAATTCAGATTTGTTCTTGAGATTTTTTTTTGAGACAGGGTTTCTCTATGTAGTTTTGGAGCCTGTCCTGGTACTAGTTCTATAGACCAGGTTGGCCTCAAACTCATAGAGATCCGCCTGCCTCTGCCTCCTGAGTGCTGAGCTTAAAAGCGTGTGCCACCACCACCCGGCTAGAATTGTTCTTGAGTAAATGGGAAACATGAAATTCAGGGTCTTACTTAATTAGGAATTTTATTGCTGATATAAAGCACTGTGACCAAAAGCAAGTTGGGGAGGAAATGGTTGATTTCAGCTTACAGTTTCACAGCACAGTCCTGAGAGAAATCAGGGCAGGAACTCAACCAGGAACTGGTGCAGAAGCCATGGAAGGATCCTGCTCACTAGCTTGCTCTTCCTGGCTTGCTCTGCCTGCTTTCTTATAGCACCGAGAACCACCAGCCCAGGGATGGCACTACAAGACCACAGTCATGCCACCCACAGCACCAATCATCAATCACAAAACTGTATCACAGGGTTGCCCACAGGCAATCAGTTGGGGGCTTCTTCTCAATTGAGGTTGTCAAGATGACATAAAACCAGCCAGAACACAAGACCCAAGGTATCTGTGGCTCAACATGCAAGTTACATATCTGGAAAGTATCTAAACATTTCTAAGGACAGGACAACTTTGCAGACCATCACTAACTTGTGGTTTGACTTCAAAAGCTTGTCCAACTTTGTGATAGAGAGTGAGAATGATGCCTAGGGAAGCTGTGCTTTGAACTGGGATCTTTCTTTAATATCCTTTCATGATGACAAGGCTGCAGAGTTCATTTGATCATGGGTAACAACTGTATCTGTGCCCAAGGTAGCATTACTAGGCTGTGCATCACAGCTTAGAAAATCAGAAGGTTACTTGCATTTCTTATTTTTAAGTGAATGTGTGTGTGCAGGTGCCATGAGTGCATGCCACAGCATGGGTGTGGAAGAAAACTCTCTGGAGTTGGTTCCCACAAGAGTCAGTTTTCTCTGACCAACTGTAGGAACAAGGAATTCAATTCAGGCCATGAAGTCTTCATACAAGAGTCTCAATCTGCTGTGCCATTTTGCAGGCACACCCTAAATGTGTGTCTGTATCATAATATTTCAGGTCACCATGGGTTTATCAGTATACAACCCCATGGTAAATTAAAAGGCATCTATATTTACTTCCTCTTCAAAACAGATTAGCGTTTCCCTCAACTCTGCCTAAAATTGTATCTTCAAAATAATCCCTCATATTAAGAATAAACCTGGGAATATAAAATTAGTGATTATATGACAACATAAATATTAGCACAAGGAGTCTTGGTTATCATTGTGGACACAATGAACAGTACCTTCCGGGTAAGAGGACAATTACAGTTAAGTTGTTACTCTTGATTCATTTGATTAGGCTACTTGAAAAAATATAAACTAGTGCTTGATTTCTCCAAAACAAAGTACAAGCAGAAAGAAATCTGTTTTCAATTCCAAAGTTGGAACAGTGCTTCACTGAAGTGATCAATAGACACAGGATCTAAGGAGCTGTATGAGGATCAACCACTGTATGAAAAAATGAAAAAAAGGCATGAACAGACATATTACGTAGGTCATGTATCTATGTTTTCAGTTATACGGTTTGTTGTTGTTGGCAAAATATATAATAATTTAAATTCTTACTTTGATATAGTAGTTTTGTTTTTAGTATATCTTCTTCAGCATAGAAAGTAAGTTGCAGAATTAAATGTGTAGTATGATATTATGCTTGGTTAAAAAAATTAAGGCAAAAGAAAATGCCAGCATCATTGCCTATGCAAGATGGTGCCATCTATGACTAGTCACCTACTGAAAGGATGATAGAGCTCTGCTGTTCTATCAAGATTTATTATAGTTAAAGGTTGAGGGGGAAGGAGAGACCATTTTCTTTGGTGTAGACTCTGTGAAGGCCCCCATGTGTCTATAAGCAAACTTTCACCCATTTTTCTCCAAGCAGCACTAGTGAAACTAATTGGGACACACACACACATACCTATTATTGTGCATAATTAATATGTTAATAAGATTATGAAAAATAAAGTTGTCTTTTGCAGCTAATATTCTAACTCTTTACAAACAGGCTTTATCTTCACCTAGGAATTATAATTTTGAGGATGTTTGCTGCTATTTTGTTTTGCTTGTTTTCACAACAGGATCTCAGGCAGCTGAGGCTTGTTTTGAATTTCTTCTATAGATAAAGATGGCCTTGAACTCTTTTAAAAAGTTGTGTTGTTGTTATTGTTATTATTATTATTTTATGTATGTGTGTGTGTGTATCTATGATGTGTGTGAGTGGATGTTTATATCGTGGTTCACATCGGGAAGGCAGAGGACAAGTTTGTGCGATCTGTTCTATATTTCTTTCCATGGGCTGAGGGGATTAAACTCGGGTCACCAGACTTTGAGTGACAAGTACCTATGCATTCTAAATTGTTTCTGTGCTGGTGCTAGGTTCAGGGATCAGTAACTTGGGTAGAGTTTTAGAGTCTAAACTTCAAGTAGAACCAAAATCAGAACATTAATACCAAACAGGTAAAGTCACAAAACAAGTCAGTCACTGCAAATAAAGAAAGGTGGAGAATGCAACAGTTTGGTTTTTTTTTTTAATGATTCCAATTCTTTACCCTCTCTATACCTATCTCTATCCTTGCCCAAACTGCAACCCCTCCATCCCTTATGGTGAAAGGCTTGAACTGTCCTTGTCTTGAGATTCTGAACTCATGGCTACCAGTAGATTGTTAATACAGCTGACACGAAGGGAGATGTATTTTATGGTTCTTGCCTCTACCAGGGACACAAGGACGTGTTCACACTAGCCTGCCAAGCTTAATCAAGCCACTCAGCCTGGTACCATTTGCGCCAAGGCTCACTTCCTTTGCCCCAAGGATAAAAGCATTCTAGAGGAGGTCAACAGACTCACCCAGCTGACACATAGCTGAGTACAGGCACATACACAAACCTAACCAACCTAGACCAGCTGAACCCTATAGTTGGACATTTGTCACCAAGAGGAGGTTTTACATCATATGCTGCTGAGGTTTGTGAGTCTTGGCTCCATTATGTCGTTGAGGATGAATCCAAGGCACGGTGTTGGATGCTGTCCAGTTCCACCTGCTTTCAGAGCAGAGTTTTCTGTATCTGTAGCTGTATTCTCCTCCCTGAGAGTTGTTCTGCTTAAAACACAGCCAACTTTCACCCTGTCACACCCCTGCCAGGGCACAGCACAAATGCAAAGGTGGGTGTGAGGTTGGGCAAAGAGAGTAGGTATAAAAGGTACTCCCTTGCCCCCAAACTGACCGCCCTGCAGAGTCAACCATTTTAGAGCTCAAAATCCACCCTTTGAGCTGGGCAGTGGTGGCACGCGCCTTTAATCTTGGCATTTAGGGGGGCAGAGGCAGGCGGATCTCTGTGAGTTCTGGGCAAGTCTGATCTACACAGTGAGTTCCAGGATAGCCACAGACAGGACAGGACACAGAGAAACTCTGTTTCTAAAAGCAAACAAACAACAAGCAAACTCAAATTCACCCTTTTCCCTCATAGGAATGGAGGAAAGGAACCGACTTTCCATTAACTTCCTTACATGCAAAACGCAGAGAATCAAGGCTCTCTGTCTCCGGACCACAGTCTGTGACAGACTCGGAGAAAGAAAAGAGGACCGATTTACTCAAGTCCACACTGTTAACTAGAAGTGAAATGAGGGAAGGACTCAAGGACACGACTTATTTCCAGGCAACCCTCTCGGTGCCACACAGACACCTCATGACTGTCGGCCACCAGGGCCCCGGTTCAAAATCTCAAGCAAACTTTGTTCTAACTGGCGAGAAGCTGATTTCACAATCCGGTTTCTCCTCTCCAGCAAAATGTTTGCAGAAATAATCCAGCCAAACATTAGAAATTAAACATTTTGCACTCTCGGGCTACTGAAATATCTACGTGTTTTGCCTGAGGAGAAAAATCTGCCCAAGGAAAACAATGAGGGTCCTGATCAACCCACTGAATCGAAGGAGGGTGGAGGGCGGGGCGTGATCCAGGCCAAATTCTGAGGAAGGTGCACACCAGGCCACCTCCTGCCTGCTGCTGCCTGCCCTAGCTACAAGGCTCTGCTTTCCTCCGCATCTTGTGCAAATCAGAGCTGGGTTAATATTGCTCTTCAGACGGGGAAGCAACCTAGAGAGTGCAGCTTCGTAAGTGTACCCGCTTCTGTCTAGTCCTGGGGGAGTGCTGTGCGGCCTACAAGTAGACCCCCTTTAAGGGAGTCCTGTAAACCATTCTCCTCGTCCAGCAAAAATGGCTAAGATATCCATATCCATTTTGTGATGTTTGGACTAGT